TATATATATATATATATATACATATATATATATATATATATCATTACTGCATGCATAATTTGAGGTGTCTATTGAGTTATTAATAAGGAAGCCCGCACCTGTTTTTTGATAGAAGGAGAGCGGCAGAGAAGATTAGTAATAAATACGCCTTCATCTCGCAGTTTATCTTTGATAATTTTAATAAATGTTGTCTCTAGAAATGCTTTAGGAGGACATATTACAGCATCTTGTGTCTCCCCGCTGTTTATATCAATTGCTAAGATGTCTATACACCCCGAAGACAAACTCTTTACATACTCTGCGCCTTCTCTGCACACCACTGATAAGTGAGGTGATGATGTCTCTTTAAATCCAAAGTACTAAACAAACAAACAAACAAACAAACAAAAACAAATAAACAAATAAACAAATATACAAACAAACAAAAACAAATAAACAAATAGACAAATATACAAATAAATAAATAAATAAATAAATAAATAAATAAATAAATAAATAAATAAATATATAAATAAATAAATAAATAAATATATAAATAAATAAATAAATAAATAAATATATAAATAAATAAATAAATAAACAAATAAACAAATAAACAAATAAACGAATATATAAATATATAAATAGAAATAGAAATAAATAAATAAATATATACATATGCATATATATTATATATTAGGTAAATTAGTAAATATAAATAAATAAACAAACGAGCAAGTATATAAAAAGATAAATGAATAGATATATACATATGTATAATAATATATAATTATGTATATATATTAAGAAACCGTAAATCATATAAATAGATAAATAATTACACAAATAAACAAATAAATTATATAAATAAATAAAACAAATGAACAAACAAACAAGTAAATAAGCAAATAAGTAAACAAACAAATGAATAAATAAACAAGCAAATAAACAGCATAAATAAACAAATAAAAAAACAAATAAATATCCACATGCGGAAGTAAATACATCAATAAATAAATAAATAAATAAATAAATAAATAAATAAATAAATAAATAAATAATGATAAATGCATGCATGCATGACTATAAAACAGCATAAACTAGTGTAAATAGATAAACTAAAATACCTGTTTTGCTATTTGAATTATTAAAGGATTAATCTCAACGCAAGTCAAAGACAAACCAAACCAACCAAACAAACGGTGCAGCAAAACCCCCAAAACGCCGCCGCCTGAATCAAACCAACACAACCGCTACCTACTTAGCTAGCTAGCTAGCTAGCTAGCTAGCTAGCTAGATACTTAGCTACTTAGCTAGCTAGATACTTAGCTAGCTAGATACTTAGCTAGCTAGATACTTAGCTAGCTATCTAGATAGATATATTGATAGATAGATAGATATAAAGATAGATAGATACACAGATAGATAGATAGATATAAAGATAGATAGATAGATAGATAGATAGATAGATAAATAAATAAATAGAGAGACAGATGATAGATAGACAGCTAACTAGCTAGGGTTATAGATAGATAGATAGTTAGGCTTGGTCTCTATGTAGCGAAGTAGAAGGCTGACTGGCTGTCGGGGTGCTGGGGGCGGCATAGCAACAAACGCTGTGCAGCAGCTAGATAGCTAGCTAGCTAGATAGCTAGCTAGCTGGCTAGCTAGCGAAGGTTTGGTGTACCTACCAAGCCCTAATAAGACGGCATCGACGGTGTTGGATGCACCCC